TTGGGTGAAGGGTTGTGGCTGAGGCACTGTGAATGGAGAAGTGTGGCACCTCTTCCACCCACTCCCGCATTTCCTGTCTGAGCAGCGACCTCTCTGCCCAACCAGGCCACTCACTACCCCTATGAGCAGGTGCGGTTGGGGAATCCCAAGGAAGATTCAACACTGTCCTCTTAAGACACCCTTTCTGAGGCCCTCCATGTGACCTCAGTCTAATTTCTGGTCCAACCAAATTCCCCAAAAGTCCCACAAGTTTTGCACCGTCCTTTTGGGCCAAGCCCCTGCCCCCCAGTTCCTCATAGCTGATCATGTCACCACTACCGTGACTCCCCAAATAAAGCTCCAGCTTTTATTTTACCTGAGGCCTCAGGTCAAAAGAAATAAATCTAAACACCAATTTGATCTCATTTTTTCTGTTCCATCCCACTCTGCAAGTATCTAGCTTACAGTGGCTTGCTGCTTTAGTTAAAAATTTGTAAATGGTCTCATACTGCACTTTTTAATATTAGATTTTGTCCCTATTAATGGGAGCTGGAGGGTCAAAGAAAAGTAACTCGGAGGATGACTGGGTATCTGAATATCATTTGCCACTTTTTCTAAAAAGAGTACGTAACGGCGGATGTGGGAACCTATGAATCTGAACACTGCTTTCCATTTTCTGAGCAATAAACAGATCATTTACCAGCTTTGCTACCCAAAGATATAAACTACCATATTTTCTCTTCAATTTGTTGCATATAGTTTTATTTGCTGCTATAAGAGTTATGATTTCCTCCACCTACTTCTCATTAGAATGGCATTAGTTCTCAGTAATGACTGAAAAATGGCATTACAGGGAACATGTAGCATTCATAACACTGTCTTACTAAACTACTTTGGATTGAGCCCTGCAAAAGATATGGAGTTAATAAAAAGGACATTTGAAAGCACTGAAAAATACAAAAACCAGTCACATGACTACATTTTCTCATTTCTTCTCTCAAACTTTGCTCACAGAAAACTCATGTTCTTTCTTGTTTGCCAGGCTTTTCTCCTAGGCGGTTGCATCCAGAGAGTTCTTGTGAGGAAGAAAGGCTAGAGGTTTGGGTGAGATGTGCCTCAAATAACTTTATTTTGATGGTGAAGGGAATGTATATACCAACAAACAAGCCGAGAGGAAACGTAATCTTTTATTTTTAAATTACTTTCCTAAACTCATTTATTTATTTACCAATAAATGTATACCGAGCACCTACTATATGTTAGGCACTGTTCTTCATATTGGGGATGAAAAGGTGAACAAAATCCTACAACAATTTCTGCTCTCATGAAGCTTACATTCTAGTGGGGAAAACTGAGAATTTAAAAAAAAAGAATGAATAAAATATGTGGTAGTTAGATCTTAGCCAGGGGCATAATTTCCCTTAAAGCTAGCCTTTTTAGTTGTTAAACATAATTTTAGTATAACTTTCTACCTACAAATTTTTCCTGTCTGTCCCTTAATAATCTTGCCACTCAATTCTGTTTTATTCTATGCAAACTCACAAGTATCCATTAAGATCTCAAAGTGCTGCGGTGCTCTGACAGGTATTATGGAAGTAATACAAAAACAAAGGAAGTGTCTGGTATGTTCTTTGCCCTCAGAGAACTTTCAATCTCTGGTTGTCAAGCTTTGCACAATAGCATTTAAACCAGCTGGAATATTCTGAAGTGTTATGAATTAGGGGAAGGAAGTGGCAAGAATGAATCATAAAAGTAGTACACTGTTAAAGGAAGGTGCCATGGGAGTTTATACTGGAAATAAACCTTAAAGTTCTGGAATGGAAGACTGGAGAAAGGAAATTATATCAGATCCTGGAAGAGGAATGACCAAAGATATGAATGACTGCCGCATACTGGGGAGAAAGGAGAAGCTTGACTTCCTTTAAGCAGAGAGTAATTTATAGTGCATAAATCTGGACTGAGGACAAGAAACCAAATCGTTCAAAGTTTTAATTCAAACTGAACATCAAGACCCAAAGAGTTTGATTCAGTATATTCCTGAGACTAATTCTCTACTAGTCCTGCTAAAGTATCTTGTGATGTTTCTTTAACAAGTATCCTTTGTGGATAATTACCCACCTCTAGATCCCGACCTTCCCATTCTATTGCAAAATTTCAGATGCTACAAGCTGTATGAGATGGAATCAGATTTTGTCATTTAAATTTAGGTTAAGGAAATGACAAAAAATAAAGAGTAAGAAACAAGTGCTTTTTCCAATGAAATGAAAAGAAATTCGGTTCAGTGAAGATAAATTCAAACTATTTGGTCTCTTACAGGTCTTGCTCTAAAGAGGGATATTTCCACCATTTTCCTGAGAGGACAATTTCCTGGCCTTTCTCCAGTTCTCACTTTAACTCCCTTTACTGTGGACTTGGTGATATCCCAATAGTTAAGTGAATTTTACAGTTTTTCCAAAGCAGATAGGATGTCAAATCTGGGTTGCTTTTATGTTTAATGTTTTCCTCTGAAATGTCATCTTATGTGTGTCAAAATAATAATGAATATACAACCAGAGAAACAAAGGAAAGAATCAACGAAGTAACAGAAAGCTTACAAACATATACTGAGTACTGACATGAAGTTGAAGAAAGGTAGTTGGAATCAGAAAAGAAATAACAAGATGGGTTTGACTGATAGGTTTTCTCTCTATATATTAAATGTATGCTGATTTAAAATTTATTGAATGTTTACTACAGTTCTCATATATCATGTCTTACTAAGTATTTTCTTGTATATTATCTTGTTAAATTCTTACAGGAAATATGTGGAATAATTTACACAACATTCTTTTTTTTGTATCTGCAAAAATGAACATGACATTAAAAGTTAGGTAAGTCAAATGACTCGTTAATGACAATGGTGACTTAGTGGAAAGAATACAGCTGTCCTGTCACAATGACTGTAGAATAAAATTTTTAAAAAGATAATAATCAACTTGTGCTTTCAATAGACTTATACTAGGGAAGTACAGCAGTATGAACTGTCTGAATACATTGTTTTGCTGTTACTATGTATTTTAATTGCTTCCATATTTTATTAATTGAAAACTTATTCTAGGAAAATCGTAACACTGACTGGCATCATCCTAAACTCAAATGAAAAAGTCAGATAAAGAAGAACTGACCATGTAAAACATTTGCACTGCACATAGAGCATTTACCGTATTGAGCCTAGTACTCTGTTTGGTTAGAAGTTGTCAAAGTGCTTGCTATGATTGATTTTGCATCAGATCAAATTATACGCCAATTTTCTCACCACCAAAAAACGTTAAAGCGATATAATTCAGTGTTTGCTTAACATTCATAGAGATTTTGCATCAGTGAAAACTCCTTTCCCTTCCATTCTTAGGTGGTTGAGGCAAAGGTAGAAAAATCCTAGGGCCAAAGCTGACTACCCATGGTAAAAGCTGTTTAGTGACATAATTTATAGGGAACATGTGATAGTTTTCAGGAGTGACATGCGTCATCTTCCCACATGAAACTATGTAGAATGTAATTTTACACTTGGGTAAATTCTGAAGGCAGGGCACAGAGATCTGGCTATGGGATGGCCATTAATGTCAGAAGGCGTCAAGGGGCTCTATCCCTCATGCCCCTCTTAGAAAATGCACCTGTGTTGGCCTGCTGTGAGAAGAGTCCATTCCTTTTCTGGAAGTTCTGAATGCCAGTCTTAAACAGTATCATGTATAGATGTTTATAAAACTTTAGATTGGTTCTTAGATTTGTCTATGGCTAACTATGGTATGATATTGGAAAACCATGCATTTTTACCCCACATAATTCTAGACTCATTTTATAAAAATATAAAGGCCACTGTGAGCATAAATATATGTTATAGGAAACAGAAGTCATGTAATAGAAAATCTATGCAGTGTTGTGACGTTGTAAATTATAAAGCTTATAAAAGGATCTGTATGGTTTCAGATCCAGAAGAGTATCACTGTAGCCAAAAAAGCAAAGTCCATGCAATAGTAGATAATTCCCATATCTCAAGTCTTTGCTTCCCATTTCTTTCACACAGGGAAGGTGGCACATAGGTCCTTGCAATACTTGTTAAAATTCTCATTTTTCTTTTTAAATTTACAACCTTCATATACTTCAGCAACCTCCAAACAGCTGCCCTCTAAAAATCCTCCACTTACTCTTAACTACCTATGTTGTATTTATTTTCTTTCCTCCCATACTCTTTCAAGCCCTAGAACCAGCCTGGTTAGGCTGAATGTGCCTTTTAGGGGATAGGGTGGGCAAGAAACTGAGGAGGCCATGCCATGATCCTCCATAGCAGAAGGTAAAAACAAAGTGAATGGCTTTGATTCATAATCAATATAGTACATAAGAACAGAGACTTTTAAAAGCACCCATTGGATATAATTCATGTACTCATTTTCATGAATTTTATAAATTTGCAAATATTTTACAATATGTATTTTTAACTGTCAAGTACAAGGGACCAGTGAGAATACAAAAATGAAAAACTGCAGATATGTGTCCCTTGCTATCAAAGAAGGAGTTTAAGATTTGGATGGAAATGTGTTTATAACACACAGTTTTATCCAGCATTATGGTAGCTTTTAGCCACATGGAGTTGTTAACCACCTGAAATGTGGCTGGAGTAACTGAAAATTTTGCTTTCTAGTTTACATTTAATTTACATTTAAATTTGAATAGCCACTCATTTGTTTTTTCTTTTTCTTTCTTTTTTTTTTTTAAGGGATTTGAAGTTTTATTCATGCTAAATCTCTAAGGCCTATAGGAGTGCTTAGTACAGGTGCTGAATACACAGCTAGCAAACAAATAAACTTAACGAATGAAGTAACAAACAAATGAATGAAATAAAAAGGCCCCTCCAGAGCCCCAGCCCCAGCCCAGATCTAACTCCCTCTCTCCCTCCCTTCCCACATGGTTAAGAACCTGACCACCTCCATTTCCTCCCAAAACAGGCCCTCTCTCTGGGAGCTTCATCTGGTCCCTCCAGCTTTCAGTCTCAACCACTAACACTTCCATTTAAACCTCCATGAAATACAGCCAATTCCATCTCCTAAGCATCTTTGGAAACATCCTTCTTCTCTCCAGGCCTATCTGTGCCACCCACAGGAATGCAGATCTCCATCAGTCATAGGTAGCTCAAATCTGAGCCTGTAGCTCTTCCCCTGAATACTTTCCCATTGTTTCTGATATAGTCTGTCTTCTCACCCACGTCCAGAGGCCCTGCTTGCTCTGAACTTCCATGCTCGTCTGGTACTCCAGACTCCAGCTCTTCAGCCTCTATTTCGTTTCTCTACTTTCTCCCTCCTGGAAGTGTTCCCAGAACCCCAGCAGTGTGTAAGGTGGGCCCAGCTTTCCCCACTACTTACCTCATCCAGCCTAGGGGTTGGGGCTACTCCTGTTCTCTCCCAGCACAACTGCAGTCCCTGGCCAGCCGAACGAATCTTCGCCCCAGGGCACCGACCATTCTGTCCTTCCACGGCGGCACCTCGGACCAGGGCTGCCCACTGCTGAGCTTCCTCAGGGCTGGCGAATTGCAGGCTGAGGGTCCCAGGCCCTCCCGGTGGAGGATGCATGCTGACGGGGGCCCCGGACGATGCCGGAGTCTGACTCCCAGGGCCACTCCAAACTGACCTGAGGAGGGGGAGAGTCCAGGCTCAGTGCCTTCCCCAGCACATACTGCATGATGACCAAAGGAATACCAGGTACCGTTTGGAGGCCTCTTCCACTGTTCTAAGCCCTGTACTCGTATTATCTTATGAAACCCTCACAGGAGTCCTATGAAGGGAGATAACCTACCAGCATTATCCCCATTTTACATACTAGGAAACAGAAGCAAGGAAAAGTTAACTGCTCAAGGGCACGCAGCTGGCAAACAGAGGGGCCAGGCCTGAGGGCCCCGACGCCCCCCAACTCACCTGCCGGGGCCCTGCGCCCAACAGCTCCAGCCGGAAGCGCCCTAGTCGAAAGGGGTCGCGCGCAACTGAAGCCTCTGCGCCTGCGCTCGGTTTCGAGCTGCTCCCAGCGTCCTCTGCGCGGCGCGCCAAGTCAGGAGCACCACAGCCCGGCCCCGGGCCACGGTTCCTGAGCAGCCACTCGCCAGCCGCGCCCTCTCCAGTCACACACGTTCTAATTTTAATAGCTGCCGTACTCTACCGCGCTGACCTGGAAAACCCAAGTCGAGCTTGTGAGGTAAGTACCAACAATTTCAAAATAGGGTTAATGCCACTATCCAGGTACAAAGTTCTTTAAGGCTAAAGAGAAGTGAGAGCTCTCCACTGAGAAAAATTTAAAACAACAGTGTAGTGTAGATTCAAAGGATGAAGAAGCATCGTTTAGATAACACAGTTGATTTCATAGATGAGTTTAAGGAGTATCAAGTATTTTATACACTTACTTATTTTGTTCCCAAACTGGGAAATAGTGCCTCTGGTTAATAATGGATGGAATCGAGACTCCGGGGTTAATTAACATACCCAAGTTCACCTGGGTACTAAGTGGTGCCTACTCCGATTGATCCCAGGTTCACCTGATTCCTGACATCAGGTGTTTTCTACTTCACTGTGCTAGTGAAGGAGTGAGGTGGCATCAAAGAGGATTCACAGCCATAAAACAGGATGACTCGAAGGTGGCAGTGCCATGATCAAAAGTGGTTTAGTCAGGCAGAAGATTAGCTTGGAGGTAGTGAACGGATGTATAAACTAGCTGCAGAGGAAGATAGCAGTGAGGATTTGGAACTGAGGGAGAGACTGAATGCTTAGAATGGAATTAGATTTGGAAGCCAACTGCAAAATCTGATGATTGAGGCTGAAGTGGTGGATCATCAAAAGAAAGAATGCACAAATAAGGATGCATAATTAAAATCTTAGGAAACATGCCTTTTTAGGGCTCAGGAGAAGAACAGGAACCATTGAAAGGATCAGTGAAGGGTTTAGAGAAGGAGGAAGAAACAACATCAAGTAGGTGGTGGTCACCAGTGTCAAATACTACAGAAAGAACAGAGAGCAAGCAATGACAGTGAAGTTCCTGTTGGAAAGATTAGTGACCCTGAAAAAAGAAAGTGTAGCTATTTAGAAGCCCTCAAATTTCCTTAAAATTTGTACTTTCCCAAGGCCCTTCCCCATGTTCCTAGGCTTATGCTCTCATACATACTAGTTGTTTTTTCAGGAATTTAGGTAGACAAGATTTGAGTACTTTTTAAATAGACCTTATGGCTTTCATGAAGCTGTACCTGTCATTTCTCCCTATTTCTAGCACCATGTGTGGCTGGGACTTAGAAGCATTTAATACAAGTTTATAGGATGAATGAATGAGACTAGAGAATTTTTTTTCCAGGCATATTTCCCCATTTGGTGAAATGATTATTAACTATTGAACCCCCAGATACTAAGTATTATTGGTAACACAAAATAAAATATTAGATATTATGTTTGTTCTCAAAGAATTTATAGTCTATATGGAGGAGGGGATAAGATAAACATACCAAAGATTATTTATGGAACACAGCAATGACAGCCAGCCAGTGTGCAGTGTTCCAGCCAAACTGTTTTTTAAACACTGAACTGCTTACCCCTTCTGTGAAAGCTCCCTGATCCCTGGGAACCCAGGATATCCCCATATTCTAGCAAGTGAATGAGTAAGGCCTGGAAAACAAGAGATTCTAGAACCCTGTCCTAGCAGTATATACAGTGTTCATTCTGATTGGATGGATTTCTTGTCAATCATTGAGTATTTTGAATATCACCCTGGAGGTGCATATTAGTGGTGATGCTAAAATAATTATTAATCCTAGATTAATCACATTAATCATGGATATGTGAGTGTGTCTGAATTTGATATTTCAATACCAACTTTGGATTTCAGTGTGCTCAGTGTATAATGATTGCTAGTCTAGACCTGTCTTTGCTGTTACTTGGCTGTATGGTCTAGGTTAAGTCTTTCATTTCCTAGGTTTATTTTATTTTTTTGTGAAATAAATGGGCTGAAAAATTGTATCAGAATGATTTATGCCACAGGTATCAGAAAAATCCTACTCAACTGGCCCAAGAACTAAGGATGCATGTAAAAAGTCCACAGGAAGGGCAGTCTTCAGGAAGGATAAATGAAGACCCTCATGCCACTTCTTTATGACTCTCTTGGTTCTACCCTCTACATGTGTGGACTTCATGTTCAGTGTAGTTCAATAAGAAGGGCATTGTTTCTTGTGTCTATCTTAAGAATGAATAGCACCCTTCCCCACACCTCCCAAATACTTCCCCTGAAGTTTCTGGCCTAAGTTGTGTCATATGCTCCTGTCTAAACTGATAACCTGGCAAGAAGAATGGCTTAGACTATACCAGTCTTGTTCTCTGGCTGGTTATGAATCCAGCTTTCCCTCGACATGGCCGAAGTAGATCATGGGTACCTAAACAAAACCAAGATTCTGTTAGGAGAAAGAAGGAGAGAGTGACTGCTGTGTGGCTCTCTTTTTAGCAAATGAAATTGTTGACCTGTCTTAATTCTCCAATATCTCCCTTCTTATCTCAGATTCTACTTACTTGGACTCATGCTCTCAACACTCCCAAACAGGCATGATCTATTAGATACATGAAAGTCATCCGGAGGATCCAGATCAAAGTTTGTTCTAACTCCAGTCCTTCCCTCTTCACTCCATTGCTTCAAGGAGCTATAAAAGGAAGGATGGGTTATCTCAGTGGGATACTGCATAGTGCTAAATAAGTGCCAGCGATCATGAGTTTAATCTCCATATTAATTAAATTATATTGTTCTGATTTTCTTTCACCAACAATCTGCCAGGTGCTGAGAAGAGTCCTGGAAGACAGGGCAGTTTGATGTAGTTGCTACTGAGGGGGTACAATGCACTTTGGCAGAAATTCAGCTGTTAGAATTCCAGACAGGTGAATCTGTTGGCTAGCACTGTAAAAAAAAATGTGAGCTGTTGCCAGGTACACTGACTCTCTGTATCTTCACAAAAAGGCAGAATCAGAGAGGATTAATGACTGTGTTGAGGAAGTGAGAGAAAGATATCAGCTGACTGATCAGGACTGTTTTCTTAGTTTCTTTACCCCGGACATTGAGAGTGTATCTGATGGTTTGTATCTGACCCCTTCCTGATTTATTTCTGAACGTAACTTGTGTCTATCACCTTAGGTCTATGGAAAAGTCATCTCATTAACTAGAATACTGACTTTCCAATCAAGTGTCAGATCTTAAATTATTATCTACAGCTCATAATGCATCTGTGTGCCAACTCAGGTTGAAGTGAGTTCCTCTGAACCCTCTGAACTCCTCTGAGTTCCTCTTGAACAGTTTCTTATAAAATACATTCAATTTGACAAGAAGGGCTTTAATATGTAGTAATTCAAGATTTTTCACACTTGAGACATGGTTCTGGTAACATGATTATTGACTTCACTGTAGATCACAGATTCATAGTTGGATCAAGAATTACAATATTGTGAGATATGAAAAAAATTATTTCTAAATTGTCCTAGAAAGAGTGAAACTCATGTGTCCCTGGATGTCTTTCAAATCTTGAATGATTTATTACCTTTTACCCTCATTTTCTCTCTCTACTTTTGCATGGAGGATTTTAAAAAAATGGTTCTAAAGTATCTTCTTTGTTGACTGATTAGCTGTCACTCTTTTCTTTTTTAAAGCAGTTGCTGTGTATAATGCACGTAAAGACATGTATAATACCCTTCTTTAACTTACTGCAATTTACCTTCAAGTAGTACTATACTTCACTTTGTCTCTTCCCAGCCTCTGTGCCATTGTTATTATACATTTCATTTCTACATATGTTGTAAAAACAAACATATATTGTAATTGGTTTTACTTTTAACAATGAACTATCTTTTAAAATATTTAAAAATTAAGCAACATTTTTCATATTTACCCACATGTTAACCATTTTAGTACTTTTGTTCCTCTCTGTACATCCAGATTTCCACCTGATATCATTTTCATTATGCCTAAGGGACTTCCTTCAGTATTCCTTATGATGCCATTTCGCTGGTAATTTTTTCAGCTTTTGAAATGTCTGAAAAAATTATTTACTTCCTCTCTATTTTTAAAACATATTTTCATTGAGTATAGAATTCTACACTGAGATATCTTTTTTTTCTTCCTTTTAGTACCTTAAAGATAACTTTTCACTGTTTTCAGAACTGTATTGCTTTTAGCAAGAAATCTGCTGTGGCGCTTATCTTTGCTCTTCTGTATATCATGTGTCTTTTTCCCATTTAATTAGGATATGTATCAACAGTGTTGTATTTATGTTTCATATGCTTGGGTTTTGTTGAGCTTTTTGAATCTATAGGTCTATAATTTTCAATTAAATTGGAAAATTTTTGGCCATTATTCTTCAAGTATTTTTTTCTGTGCACCCTTTGGTGTCTCTTAAGCAGACATTAGCTGCTTAAAGTTTTCCCACAGCTTGCTCCTGTCCTGTTCATTTTCTCTAGTATTTTATCTCCATTTTTCATAATGAGTATTTTCTTTCGTGATATATTCAGGTTCATTAATCTTTTCTTTTCCATTGTCTAATCTGTTGTTAATTCTACCCAGAAAAATTTTTGTCACTTGTTGCATTTTTTGTCTCTAGAAACTTGACTTGGTTCATGTTTACACCATCACTGTCTCTATTTATGACTCACTCTTTATTCTATCTTCCTGAATATATGGAATATAGTTATGATAACTGTTTTATTGTCTTTATGCATTGCATTATCTGTGTCATTTCTGGATCCTTCTATTGATTTATTTTTTTTCCTCCTCACCATGTGTCATATTTTCCTGTTTCTTTGCATATCAGGGAATTTTTGACTGGATGACAGACATTGTGAGTTTCACCTCATTGGGTATCAGGTGTATTTAAATTCATATAAATATTCTTGAGGTTTGTTCTGAACGTCAAGTCAGTTACTTAGAAACAGCTTGATTCTAGCACAGCTTGCTTTTGAATTTTGCTAGGTGAGACCAGAGCAGTCTTTAGGGCCAACTTTTCCCTATTACTGAGGCAGTACTTTACTGTGAACTCGATGCCTTATGAATTATGAGGATTTTTACATTTTCTCCATGGGAATATGAACTAGTTCCAGCCTGGTCTGA